CAAAGTACTTAGATCACCCAGCAATCCACACTCACAAAAGTCAGTGCACTAAAAGGAACCAAAGTCATCCTTGTGTCTTCTTCCATCTCAGGGAGTGGCTGAGGCATCAGATATGGTCTGACTCTTCTAGATATTTGAGAAAAATAGTTTGGAACTAACTCTATCTGAGGCTGAAATCCAAAAGGAAATTGGGATTTTTTGTTTGTTTACTTCCTCTCTCCAACTTTCCTCCCTTCGCCCATTCCATCACTCATCTGTACCTTTAGATGAGGTCACAGAAAAAATTAAAACAGTAATAGGTTTGAATATCCTTATGGATTACTATCCTCATGGTATCACTAAGAAAAAGAAAATAAACTCTTCTCATGGAAATAGCTCCAAGAAAGAATATAAAATAACATGAAAGCACAAGTCATTCAATCTGTAAAAAGTCTCAGATTAAAATCTTTTGGAAAATTTGACGATGGGGTGCATAGCATCACGTTTTGATGTTAATAGCACTAACTGCTGTACATGAACAGCTTTCGCTGAAAAAGAAAATTAGGTCAAGACAAACAATTTTTACCTCTAATTCAAGATTTCTTCATGTCTGAAAAAAATGAAATGTAATTTTGTCCACTTTCACAGAAATTTTAAGTAGCCTGGAAGTGTATATTTACAAAGAATCAGAGCCCAAGGTCTCATTCAGAACAGGGAAGGATTTGTTCAAGACTTTTTTTAGAATATCCATGTTTGCCTGCATGAATCAAACTCTCTGTCCCAAGAAAAGCTTCAGGCTGCTTTAGCAGCGAAGTCAGTTGTCATTATCTATCTGTCTACTCTCCATAGTTTCGGGACCACGAATAAATCAGGAATCTCTACTGTAACACAGTTTGTCCTGCTGGGCTTTCCTGGTCCTTGGAAAATGCAGATCGTCCTTTTCTTGGTGATTTTTTTTTTATCTACATCTTGACTCTGACTGGGAATATGGCCATCATTTGTGCAATGAGATGGGACTCACGACTCCATACCCCTATGTACATGCTCCTAGCCAACTTCTCCTTCCTAGAGATCTGGTATGTGACCTGCACAGTTCCCAACATGCTGGTCAATTTTCTTTCCAAAACCAAGACCATTTCCTTCTCTGGCTGCTTCACTCAGTTCTACTTCTTCTTCTCCCTGGGCACAACTGAATGCTTCTTCCTCTGTCTCATGGCTTATGATCGGTACCTGGCCATCTGCTGCCCACTGCACTAACCGTCCATCATGACTGGGAGGCTCTGTGGCATTCTGGTGTCTCTTTGTTGGCTCATCGGTCTCCTTGGACATTTAATTCCCATTGTCTTCATTTCCCAACTCCCTTTCTGTGGTCCCAACATCATTGATCACTTCCTGTGTGATGGAGACCCACTGATGGCCCTTTCATGTGCCCCTAAACCCATCATAGATCATGTGTTCCATTCTGTGAGCTCTCTTATTATCATTCTCACCATTTCGTACATCCTTGGGTCCTACACCCTGGTGCTCAGAGCTGTGCTTCAAGTCCCTTCTTCTGTTGGACGGCGAAAGGCCTTCTCTACATGTGGATAGCACTTGGTGGTGTTATCTACGTTCTATGGAACCATAATGGTGATGTATGTGACTCCCACATCTGGCAATTCAATTGCTGTGCAGAAGATCTTCACACTGATATATTCTGTCGTGACACCAGTCTTAAACCCCATCATCTACAGCCTCTGCAACAAGAACATGAAATATGCCCTCTGTCACATTCTTTGTAGGATGAGAATTACCCAAAGTTCATGAATAAGCTTTGTATAACCCAATGAATCTATTATTGTAAGAGAATAACCCCCTCTCCAATTCAAACTGACTTTTCCTTATTCGTAACCATCACAGATCTTTTGTACAAAGCAAAATTCATCATGTGTTGATTGTATGTTGAGTGTCTTACAGTTCCAGAAATGTGTTTCCATAGGAAAAGAGATTATTCCCAACTAAAGTAACTCTAAATCTCTTAATATTTACTTTCAGGAAGGTTTTGATTTTTTAATGTTCATGTAACTTTAGAAAGAGAAATTAATCAAATTATTTTCTTACATGGCTTTCTATTATTTTTGGAAAAAAAAACATGTTAACAATATGATTGTTTTCTTATATTTTGGGCAGAAAATATGTCAATGTTGGACATAATAGGAGATTGTGAATTGGTGTCTCACAACTCTTAGCTCATTATCCTCATTGTTGTTGTTATGTGCTGTTGAGTCGGCCCCGACTCATAGCGACCCCTCCTTGGGTTTCCAAGGCAGTATTACTACGGAAGTAGATTGCCCCATCTTCCTTCTGAGGAGTGGCTGGTGGGTTTGAACCTCCTGTCTTCTGGTTAGCAGTCAAGTGCCTTAGGCACTATGCTACCAGAGCTCCCATTATCCTCATTAGCAGTGTACAAAGAGAGACCAGAAGTTTGATGGAGGTCATTATTGAGACTATCTGTGGTGAGAGTTATTAGTGTGCTATATGATTTCCCTAAGCAGTGAGTGGTACATCAAGGAAACCATTCAGAGGGTTTGATCTTGTTCCTTGGAGTCTGAGGGACACCAGGACTGTCCCTGGTTTCTATCTTAAAAAAAAAAAAAAAAAACGTGTAAAGTTTGTTGAGAAGCTGGCTCTGAGAGCAGAGCAGGGAGAGATGAGCTACAGTGGGAGAAAACAGAATCTCAGCAATAATAGGGCAAACATAGAATACCCACATCTGGCCTTGACTCCATGGAAGAGAACCAATTTGGGCCATCTTAAAAGTGACCCCACCCAAATTACTATCTGGAGAAGAAAGGCAAGACCAAAAGAGCTTGTGTGGAGTGAGTCGCCATAATCCAGGGATGAGGAGGAAGTCATAAGCAGCCAGTCAGGGAAGCACTGCTCACATCAAGGAGTTTCATTTGGGCCAGTTCTCACCCTCCTCCCCACAAAAATAAAAAGCAATACGTGAGAGAAACATCAACATTCGGACTTTTGTCACAGATGGAAGGCAACAGTACCTGGTTACAGATATTCCAGTCAAGGAAGAATGTCCAGGCTTTATTTCTCCCTCACCCCAAACCTAATTAACCAGCAGCAGCCTAGTGATGTGAGAGAGGGTGAGTAGAACAGCAGATGGAAAGAAGCACTACGGAGCAGTAATGAGGAATAAGTTTAATTTTGATAAAAATTACCATTTTAGTTTTAGACTACTGGACTTTCCAATATCTGGAGAAGGGAACCATATATTAATACTAACAGTCATCAGAACAGCTATCATACCTTCCCAAGATGCTATCTAGAAGTGGAAACAAATAGAACATCAGAAAATGCTTGTAGTAAACACGATTAGTGAAAATAAAGTTCCTTTCTGGCCGCACCCTACCAAGCCCATACCATCCAATGATATAGTTACAGCTGCTAATGTTTAAACATTGTTCGGGAGCTCTCGTGGGGTAGTGCCTACGGTATTTGACTGCTAACCAGAAGCCTGGCGATTCAAACCCACCAGCCACTCTCCTCAGAAGGAAGACTGGACACTTTACTTCTGTAGAGATACCCCCTCGGAAACCCAAGGAGGGTCACTAAGAGTCTAATCGACTCATTGGCAGTGAGTTTGGCTTTTGGTATACCTACGAGAGGAAGAAAACCATCACATTGGGGAACTCAGGGGTTCCTCCTTGGCTCTCCTGGGCAACAGGAGAGCGCCGCACTTCAGGGTGATATTGTTGTTGTTGTTTGCCGTCAAACCCGACTCATAGCGACCCCTCCTTGGGTTTCCGAGGCAGTATCACTACGGAAGTAGGATTGCCCAACCTTCCTTCCGAGGAGTGGCTGGTGGGTTTGAACCGCCAGCCGTCTGGTGAGCAGGCAAGTGTCTTAGCCACTGTGCTACCAGAGCTCCCTCAGGGTGATAGAGAGACCTAAAAAGGGTGAGAAAAGGAATCAGAAAACCTAAAAAGGGTGAGAAAAGGAATCAGAAATCTGGTTTAAAAAGGAGCTCTGGTAGCATAGTGCCTAAGGCACTTGACTGCTAACCAGACGGCTGGCAATTCAAACCCCCCAGCCACTCCTCGGAAGGAAGGTTGGGCAATCCTACTTCCGTAGTGATACTGCCTCGGAAACCCAAGGAGGGGTCGCTATGAGTCGGGGCCCACTCGACGGCACATAACAACAACAACAAAGACAAGATTGAACTATGCACCACAGTTTGACCCAAAGTCTGCCCTAGTGATTCAGACATTGAATTGAAGTCATTAACTGAAAGGACAGGAAATATTTTATATAGAACTTGGTAGCTTAAACGTGTCTTACTGCTGCAATGTTTAGATGTTAAATATGTAGCTTCTCCAATCAAACACCTCTTCTTTCGTTAAGATTCAACTCAGAAATCACTTCCACAGAAACCTTCCCAACACCTCAGGCTGGACTGTGCCTCTCCTTTTCGCATCAGATACATCAAGTGCTTGTTCCAATCACTGTACATATAGACTCTGGAGCGGAGTCTGTGCCCGCACCTCTTTCCTTAGACTATGAGCCCTTTGAGGACAGAACCAGTATCTTATCTTTTTATCCAAAGCATCTACCATGATCCCTACCTCATAGTAAGAACAAGGAAAAGAATCATTTGTAGAATTTGATGAATGAGCTAGTTTTTTAATTATGTGTTGCTGGAAGAGCTCTGGTAGCCTAGTGCCTAAGGCATTTGACTGCTAATCAGAAGGCTGGCGGTTCAAACCCACCAGCCGCTCCTCAGAAGGAAGGTTGAGCAATCTACTTCCGTAGTGATACTGCCTCAGAAACTCAAGGAGGGGTCACTATGAGTTGGGTCTGACTCCACAGCAGTGAGTTTAGGTTTTTTTGGTTTAGAATTGAATATATTGTAGTCAAAAAATCATTACGTGATTGCTTAGTTATTTTTAATATTTAAAAAACTTATGTTTTTAACCCCACATTATGATTTATATCTTATAAAAGTAGTACATGATTTGTATTATTTATTATATATACTTCTTCCCAGCCAATACTAGAGCTTTAGAATGCTTAAACTTTAGATACCAGTTGCATAAAGAATTACCCTCCTGAGCCTTCTCCTGTGCATCTCTACTTTTGTGTACTCTTAATAAAACTGTATTCAAAAAAAAAAAAGTAGTACGTACTTGTTACAATATTTTCAAGCAGTGCAAAAGTATAAATTAAATGTAAAATCTCCCTTTCTCCCTCTCCACAATCTCACTTCCTACAAATGACAACTTCCATAACAGATTTCTATGCATGCACAAGCCAGCAACTACATACAAATATAAAGGTTTTATTTTCTTTAAATGGATTATATTATACAGTCTATTCTGTAACTGTTCTTTAATTCTCTTAAAATTTTGTGAGCTTCTTTACAGGCCAATACAAATAGATACAGTATATCTCAGTCTTTTTCCGAGGTTGAATAATGTCCTGTTGTGTGAATTTAACCTAAAATATTTAATTATATTGTTTTAAAGTGCTTTCTTCTCACAGAGATTCAAGCTGTTAAAAGAAAAATTTCTGATGAACTGCTCCCTTGAAGATTAAAAACCAAATTAAAAAAACCCATAGCCATCAAGTGGATTGTGACTCACGGTGGCCCTATAGGACAGAGTAGAACTGCCCTATAGGATTTTCAAGGCTGTAAACCTTTATGGAAACAGACTGTCTCATCTTTCTCCTGCAGAGCAGCTAGTGAGTTTGAACCACCGACGTATATCAGCCAAATGCCTTAACCACTATCCCACCACAGTGCCTTAGGAGGACAGAGCAGGACCACAGAAAATCTGAATCTACTACTCCACTGGGACGAAGAAAAAAAAAAACTAAGAAATTTTTTAAAAGAAAGTTAAAAGGGGTTGATCACTGTGAAGGGTGAGTTTGTAAGTAAGGCCATTTAGCTTGGAAAATTCTTTTCTTATAAGGCCACCCAAATCCAGGGAGACCTAGGGGAAGGGAGAGGGGAGAGGAAGATACTTCTCTAGTACAAAAAAAAAAAAAAAAGTTGCTACCTATGGTAGTTCAGTTTGTGTGTCAGCTTGGCTGCGCCTGGTTGAGTGGCTGGGCAGCTGGATGTGGTATTCCCCATGAGGAGACTGGTAATCAACTCCACGGTGGAATCTACTGTGAGCAGCCTTTGGGTATGTGGTCTGCTTCTGGTATATAAGGAGAAGTTTTGGGAACGATCTTTAGCTTATGGCACCTTGAAACCTGCATGTAGCCATGTCGTTGTTCAGCAGCCTGCCATGCTCTGCCAACCCTGGGACTTACAATGGATTTGAATTAATGGCCTGCTGTGTGATTTGGTAATATTGGGACTGTGCCTTTTTACTTGTCAACCTTGAGCTTGACAGCCTCAGTAGCCAGCAGCTGTCTGAGTGAAGAAAAGCCTCTAGCTTCAGTGGGCCGGGAGCTGGAGGCAGAGCTGAAGCCCAAGGCTAAGGGGCTTTCACCCAGCCCCTAGAACCTGGCACTTTGAACTTGGACTCCTCGCCTCCAGAACTGTAAGAGAATAAACTCCTGTTTGTTGAGGCCATCCCATTTCTGGTATATTTCCTGTCAGAGTGGTACTAGGTAACCAGAACACTATCCAATAAATTCAAACTCATAGCAACATTATAGGACAGAGCAGAACTGCCCTATAGAGTTTCCAAGGCCATAATCTTTATAGAAGCAAACTGCCTCTTCTTCCTCCTGGAGCAGCTGGTGGGTTCAAACCATCGACCTTTCACTTAGCAGTTGAGCATTTAACCACCGTGTCAGCAGAG